CAGCGCATAGTCAATCTGTGGAACTCCTTGCCTGAGGAGGTTGTGAAGGGTAGGACTATAACAGGGTTTAAAAGAGAACTAGATAGATTCATGGAGGTTAAGTCCATCAATGGCTATTAGCCAGGATGGGTGAGGAATGGTGTCCCCAGCCTCTGTTTGTCAGAGGATGGAGATGGATGGCAGGAGAGAGATCGCTTGATTATTCCCTGTTCAGTTCACTCCCTCTGGGGCATCTGGCACTGGCCACTGTTGGCAGACAGGGTACTGGGCTAGGTGGACCTTTGGTCTGACCATTCTTATGTTCTCATGAGAGTCTGTAAAATGCCAAGACTCTCTGGGGAGTCTACAAGAACCAGGCCAGGGTATGAGCTGGCGGCCACTTTCGGGGCCAGGAGAACCGGCAGTCCCGCCAGGAGCTTGGAGCTGGCCAATCGTTGGGCTGAGGGCTGCTCTATAGTCGGGCAAGAGCACCGCTCCCCGGTCTGGGATCCCACGTCATCGGTTAACTAGTGAATCGATGAAACGGGATTTGACATCCCTGCTTTCAGGGGCTGGATGTAACTTCCTGAACGGGATTGGTAGAAATGCTGCAACCCTTACGGAACACGCCGACCACGGTCCTAGAAAACCCGCGTTCTATGAAAGCGCGTGAGCGACTGTATATTGGAGAGCCGGGCTGTGGGTGAGCGGGAGAGCCAGCAAGTCCGTCTGTCCATCCGTCTGTGCAAGAACTCCTGACCTAAACGGGAAGAGCCAGCACCACCGAATTCGGGAGGCAGCTTCCTCTGATCCTAACTTAAAGCGAGGTCAGGGGTTGATTGGGTGTGTGGGTGCTGCCCCGCCCCACATACAGGGACACAGAAAACCATACAGTGAAAGGGGCTGGCTGGGGGTGTACCCACCCCCCTCCAGTCCCATATGTGAGTTAAGGACCTGAGCAACGCGGGGTAAATCCTCTAGTACAGGTTGGACCTCCCTGGTCCGGCAACTTCGGGAACTGAGCTGTCCCGGACCAGGGAGTTTGCCAGACCAGGGGAGGTCCCTGCTGCCTGCTTTGCCCTGCCCGATCTAATGCTGGCCCAGCAGGGGCTCCCTGCTGCCCACAGGCTGCCTCAGAGTCCCCAGGGACACACTGGGCCTCCTGGCCACTGCAGCCCCGCTGCCTCAGGGTGTTCCCCAGGTTTCAGGGTGTTCCCCGAGGTTTCCTGCCCCTCTGCTAGGGCCGACCCCACTGCGGCCGGCAATTCCTTGGGCTTCCCGGGCTGGGCCTCCCACCGCCAGCAGCCCCTCTGCAGCTGGGGGTTCCTCAACTGGAGCCAGGACTCCTCAGCCACCTGGCCCAGCTGACCCTACCGGGGAGGGGGCTCCCCAGCTACGCCTGGCCCCGTTGTCATTGGGGGTTCCCTGGCCAGGTTAGGGGCTCCCCAGCTGCTGCAGATCTGGCCTGAGTTTCCCAGCCCCCCACGTTGTCTCCCACTGCCATCTCCGGGGCCCTTTGGTCAAGCAACATCCGGGGCGCTGCCGAACCACAGATGGTGCCGGACCAGAGAGTCCCGGATTTGGGAGGTTCAACCTGTATAACCTAAAGAACACACCATATGTGACGCAGACTCCATCCCTCGCGGAAAAGGCCTGGGGGCGGGGGCAGTTTGCACCCAAATCGATCACACACCTGGGCCCCTGCGGAGAGCAAGAGCTCCACGCACTGCGTCTGGCCTCGCAGGCTGGCCTCGTGCAAGGGGGTGATCGCGTCGTAGGTGAGCAGGTTCACGCAGGCGCCGTTCGCGATCTCGTGAACGGGCGTCCTATCGGCCCAGAAGCCTGGGGAGACAGGAGAGACCGCGACTGAGTCTGCGGGCTGGCGATAAGGAGCCTTGTTGGGAGAAGTGGCTTGTGTAGGACGTGAGGAATTTGGGGTTCTCGTCCCACCTCTGCTATTGGGGACATGGCTCAGTGCTCCCAGGCCAATGTGCCTTAAAGCTAGAATACAGGGGGTTGACAAACTAGTTGCAGTTGACAAACTTGCTCGGTGACAAACGTGTCGCAATCCGTGGGTGAAAGGGTTGAGTTGGCAGCGTTCCAGGTTGACATTTTCTGGACCGGCAATATCCGTGGACAGGCCCATCCGGATGCCCGCTTATCATGAATCATAGAACCATAGAGCTGGAAAAGACCTCAGAAGGTCATCAAGTCCACCCCCCCGCCCAAGGCAGGACCAATCCCATCATGGGCGTGGCCAAGTTTCCCACGGTCCCATAAAGTTTGTTTATTTCCACTAGTCCTGGCTCTCGGTGTTCTGGGCTGTTTTTTAGCTCTAATTTACCCCTAACGCTACATCTACACTGGCATGATTTTGCGCAAATACTTTTAATGGAAACGTTTTTCCATTACAAGTATTTGCGCAAGACAGCGTCTATACTGGCATGTGCCTTTGCACAAAAGATTTGCTTTTGCGTAAAAGCATCCGTGCCAGTGTAGATGCGCTCTTGCGCAAGAAAGCTCCGATGGCCATTTTAACCATCGGGCTTTCTTGCGCAAGAAATTAACTTGGTTGTCTACACTGGCCCTCTTGCGCAAGAATACTCCCTGAGTGGGAGCGTTGGAGTATTTGCGCAAGAACCACTGATTTTGTCCAGTACAAAGTCAGTGTTCTTGCGCAAATACTCACGGCCAGTGTAGACTTAGTTCAGATTAACTTCTGACTGCCGTGGCGTCGAGTCTGGCATGATTTTGCGCAAATACTTTTAATGGAAAAGTTTTTCCGTTAAAAGTATTTGTATACTGGCACGTGCCTTTGCGCAAAAGCATCTGTGCCAGTGTAGACACAGTGTGGCCATTTTAACCATCGGGCTTTCTTGTGCAAGAAATTAACTTGCCTGTCCACACTGGCCCTCTTGTGCAAGAACACTTGCGCAAGAGGGCTTATCCCTGAGCAGGAGCGTCGGAGAATTTGCGCAAGAACCACTGATTTTGTACAGTACAAAGTCAGTGTTCTTGCGCAAATACTCGCAGCCAGTGTAGACAGGTGGCAAGATTTTGCGCAAAAGCGGCACCCTAAGTGTCTTCTGAGAGCCCAGCAAGCAGTGGAAGTATGGGTGATGCCACTAAACATTGACCTTCCATGGTTCAACAAATTCGCTCGTTCAGCACCGGTTAAATCCCTGTCCTATCGTGGAAACGGTTGCTGTACGAAACAAAAAGGCCGTTCTGGCTCCGTGTGATTTCCCCCCAGAGTTGGTAGCGCGTGCCCAAAAGCCCATTTTCAGTTTAGAAGTGCTGCCCTGTAAGAGGTCACATTCTGCCTCTGTTGCCCACGGGCGATATGCCCCGAATACTTGAGAAAGCAGCTAGGGGCATGAACTGGAATGGTGTTTTCAGTCCGCGCTGCTGTACGTTCGTGCAATTCTTGCTCATCTTCAGACATCATCCCACCTGGCCCCTGCGCAGATTCGTGCTGGTAAAGGCAGAAGGGAACCCTGCAGGGGCATAAAGGCGGCTCGCAGGGCAGCAACAAAGAATGGGCAGCCACGTTTAACCTTCCGTGGTTCAACAAATTCGCTCATTCAGCACCGGTTAAATCCCTGTCCTATTGTGGAAACAGTTGCTGTACGAAACAAAAAGGCCGTTCTGGCTCCATGTGATTTCCCCCCAGAGTTGGTAGCGCGTGCCCAAAAGCCCATTTTCAGTTTAGAAGTGCTGCCCTGTAAGAGGTCACATTCTGCCTCTGTTGCCCACGGGCGATATGCCCCGAATACTTGAGAAAGCAGCTAGGGGCATGAACTGGAATGGTGTTTTCAGTCCGCGCTGCTGTACGTTCGTGCAATTCTTGCTCATCTTCAGACATCATCCCACCTGGCCCCTGCGCAGATTCGTGCTGGTAAAGGCAGAAGGGAACCCTGCAGGGGCATAAAGGCGGCTCGCAGGGCAGCAACAAAGAATGGGCAGCCACGTGCTATAGGCCCCATGCGGGAATGCCCATATATCTCTGAGAAGCAACCAAGAGATTTATGGAGAGGTGGCAACCCTGTCTCGCAGGGGGGATTAATCAACGCCTTTTGGGGCACGCCGACTTTTTCAGGGAGGGGGGCCACCCACACCTTTGCACGGCACCTCTGCAGGCCATCAAATGGCACGCGCCAGACAGCGTGAGCTGGCACACCCCATCTGTGCGAGCAGGGAGGTTGCGTGTTTGCATGTGGCCTGGGGAGGTGCCCACGTCCTCCGCAGTCTCGCAGGGGGGATTAATCAACGCCTTTTGGGGCACGCCGACTTTTTCAGGGAGGGGGGCCACCCACACCTTTGCACGGCACCTCTGCAGGCCATCAAATGGCACGCGCCAGACAGCGTGAGCTGGCACACCCCATCTGTGCGAGCAGGGAGGTTGCGTGTTTGCATGTGGCCTGGGGAGGTGCCCACGTCCTCCGCAGCACGGCGCCCTTCCGGGAAATTTCCAGCTGCACCTGCTAGTGGACTGAAGCGCCCCTGCTACGTGGGACGCAGCCGACACGTGACAGTGGAATCACACGATGCATCTGCCCCCTGGGGGGCATTGCTGCTCCTCCCTTGTGGTACCGGGGTCTTCGCGGCACACGTCTGCGCTGCGTTCCTTGCGCTCTTGGTTTACTACACTGTTTCAAAAGAGCCTCTTTCGAAAGAAGCCTGCAGTCTAGACATAGCCTAAGAGGTCACATTCTGCCTCTGTTGCACATGGGCGATATGCCCCGAATACTTGCGAAAGCAGCTAGGGGCATGAACTGGAATGGTGTTTTCAGTCCGCGCTGCTGTACGTTCGTGCAATTCTTGCTCATCTTCAGACATCATCCCACCTGGCCCCTGCGCAGATTCGTGCTGGTAAAGGCAGAAGGGAACCCTGCAGGGGCATAAAGGCGGCTCGCAGGGCAGCAACAAAGAATGGGCAGCCACGTGCTATAGGCCCCATGCGGGAATGCCCATATATCTCTGAGAAGCAACCACTCCTTGGGGCCAGGCATGGAGAAGGCCACCCTGTCTCGCAGGGGGGATTAATCAACGCCTTTTGGGGCACGCCGACTTTTTCAGGGAGGGGGGCCACCCACAACTTTCCACGGCACCTCTGCAGGCCATCAAATGGCACGCGCCAGACAGCGTGAGCTGGCACACCCCATCTGTGCGAGCAGGGAGGTTGCGTGTTTGCATGTGGCCTGGGGAGGTGCCCACGTCCTCCGCAGCACGGCGCCCTTCCGGGAAATTTCCAGCTGCACCTGCTAGTGGACTGAAGCGCCCCTGCTACGTGGGACGCAGCCGACACGTGACAGTGGAATCACACGATGCATTTACCCCCTGGGAGGGCATTGCTGCTCCTCCCTTGTGGTACCGGGGTCTTCGCGGCACACGTCTGCGCTGCGTTCCTTGCGCTCTTGGTTTACTACACTGTGCGCGAGAGGGGAGGGCGGGCGGTTTGCTAGCAAGTGGCATGGCCCCAGAGGCGAGGAAGGGGGCAGAGAAGGCAAAGGTGCCGCCTAGGATTCAAGGCGAGGGTCTGTGGGGCACAGATCGGACCGCCCCGCTCCTAGCCCGGCACGCGGTCGCCTGGACGCTCCGTGGGAGCACCAGGGACACACGGGACCGTGCCACCCGGCCGCTCTCACCGCCCGGCAGCGGCTGGAGCCG